GTTCCTAAACACCTCTCTCCTGTCCCATAGTGTTCCTAAACACCCCTCCCCTGTTCATAGTGTTGCAGTACAGGAGATCAGATTCAGTCTCCTGTACCCGGCTCGACGGACTCTCTCAGTAAACACTTCCTTTCAATCCGGCCGGGTACAGGAAACATAAGTTCCTGTACCGCGGTGCGCACTGCTCCGTTCGGCCACGCTACACAGAGTGCCTGGCAGGAGGGGGCATTGTGCGCCCACCTCCTGTCAGTCACTCCACTCCACTCCAGCCACCCACCCTCCCACCCCCTTTGCTTTTCTATATTTTAGAAAACCTTGTGATATATACAGGAATAGTTCTTAATCTTTAAATCATATGCAAATAAAACATATATACAATCATGCCAACACAGAACACTTTACTTTGAAATTATAGAAACTTAATGCAGAATAAATATTGAGCCATCTACTGCTGGGAAACCATATGTCTTTATACAAAGACACTTGACAAGTTTCTCATTTACACAAACATACAACATACTGTAGGCTGTTCGCTAAACAGCAGGTGTGAGGCAATATCCTCGCCCAAGATGAGAAGTTGCTTTGTCTGATTGAAATATAAATAGAGATTATTCAATGCAAATCTACACACCTGTCAGAGAACATTCTTTTACTATTCAATAAAGGAAAAGATGACAATCATCTTTTTGTGCGGTTTGATCTTCTTGTTCTGGCACTGTTTGGAGAGTGCAGACAGTAACCCTGTGACGTTAGGACAGTTCATGCCATCCTAAAAATAGTGGGCTTTAAGTGACTTAGGTCGGCACAGAACATGCGGCATGTTTGATTTTAGAAAGGTTAAATCCCTGCTTATACTGCAGAGACCCATGTATCAATCAATATCTTAGGGTTCCACTGTGTAAACTCGGGCCCACATAGTTGCTCAGATTGACTGGTGAGCTCTATGCCGTGCTCAATGCGTGCTCAGCATATATCCCTTTAAATCTCCATAGCTGAGCGACCAATCAGCTGTAGTGATTCTTAGACTGCCCCCCTAAACAGAGAGAGAACTTCAGTGTCTGAAAAGTTCCTTTTTTGGTGCAGCTCCCTGCATGTCCACTTGCCGACATTGATTGGCGCTGGGGTTTGCTAGCAGCACTGCACCAATAACTGTGAATGGCAGAGATAGCATGCAGGAGCTGCAGCATAGGCATCTCCTGCTCATGCTTCAATAACTTGGCGGAGTCTGCTCACAAAGCACTCTGTACTGTGTGAGCTGGGAAAGGATGTAAGCAGAGGGAATCCTCTGAGTTAGGGTAAGCAGAGAGTAAGGGTTAATGTTTAATGGTGGGTTAGGGTAAAGGACATGGCCTGGGTAACAGTACAGTTTGAGCTAATGAAAATACAAGATTAGGAGTAGGCAGGGGAGGGCTGGCAGCCTTAGGCCTGGGGGGCAAAACCAGTCAAGAGGCCCATTGCACCACCAAATCAGTGCAATGGTGCCCACCTTTTCCTGGATTTATAACGGATATTGATGTTATGCTAATCAGTAGCTCTTTGCCATACCCGCTCCTTCACGGCTCTGACTTTCAATGTTGTCAGAGCGCAGGCTGAGAATCTCTGAGCCTGTGCTCTGACTCACTAACTGAGCGTCGGAACCACGAGGGAGAGGCTATAATCTGACTGCACCTACTGCTGGTGCGCACCAGTGGACCACCAGCGAATCGTTTAAATTGAATAGGCTGGTGTCCCCAACTTGTGAGCTGTGTTGTCCGCCGGGCGCCTCTGTTGTGATGGCACCCTGCGTGACCGCACAGCGTGCACACCCCAATGGCTGGCCCTGCTGACACACACTGATGTTACTACTTAGAAATCCCTCAATATTAATACAGACAGCAGAGTAAACACCAATAAACTGTGGAAACAGATCTGATCCCATCCAAATTTATAAAGATTTGCTTACTGGATTTGTTGTAAGATTAAATCATGCCTCCTCCCCTCTCTCTCCCATGCGCTGCTCTGTAAGCTGGGAGGAAGTGAAGAGTAATCACAATCTCTCAGCACAGTGGCACCTGTGGCTGCATGGGGAACAGCTGTATTTGCCGCCCCCCATGTGACATCACAATGCCCCACCTATATGAGCTGCCATACGAACTAACGCCAGTGCTGCCCACAGTGTGTGTTTACATTAAAAAGCCTGCAGGGACCGCCTATAGATACCAGAACCACTTCATTAAGCTCCAGTCATTCTGGGGACTATAGTGTCCCTTTAATGTAATGAAAATTATAGATTAGTGTCACTAATAATATACTAGATTGCCTACTTACAACCAAATGAGGATGATGATGGGCTGCAGTTTGGCTCCACTGGTCTGGTGTAGAACAGGATCTCTGGAGGCTGTTTGCAACTGTGGTCACAAAATTCAATGTTCTGGGAGAATTGGAAGCAGCTCCATTTTTGGGAGGGCCCCTTACACAGCTCAAGGTCTGGGCCCCAGGGCCTGACGGTGAGTATGCGCACAAGGCCCACTCATAAGTCCACTTATATGTTCCACCCACCCATGAGTTCGCTCACAGGGAGTGGAGTGTGTAGGGGATGTGTTATGTGTTATTGTAGAGCAGGGGTTCTCAACATTAGTCCTCAGGACCCCCTACCAGTCCAGGGTTTAGGGATTACCTGGGTGTGTCTAAGGTGTTTTTTTCCCTTTTTCTAAACACCTGAGACACACCCAGGTAATCCCCAAATCCTGGACTGGTAGCGGGTCCTGAGGACTGGGTTGAGAACCCCTGTTGTAGAGGATCTAATATGTGTGCTTATGGTATGCAGTGTATAGGGATACCAGTTTGTGCAGGTGATGCAGTGTGTTTGTGTGTAGTGGAAGCAGTGTGTATTTGTGTATAAGGGATGTATTGTGTGTTTCTGGTTGTGTGTAAGGGATGCATTGTGTGAATCTGTGTTTGTATGCATAAGGGATGCAAGGTGTGTGTCTGTAAGTGTGTGTTAGTGATGCATTGTGTTTCTGTGTGTAAGTGTTTGCATTATGTGTTTCTGTGTATGTGTGCAAAGGATGCATTGTCTTTGTGTGTAAGTGTTGCATTGTTTGTGTGTAATGGATGCATTGTGTGTTTCTCTGTGTGTAAGGGAAGCATGTTGTGTTTCTGTGTGTGTAGGGATGCATTGTGTGTGTGTGTGTGCGCTTAGTGTCCTCTCCTCCCTGTGTCCTCCTCACCTCCCCCTCCCTGTGTTCTCCTCACCACCTACCCTCCCTGTGTTCTCCTCACTACCCACCCTCCCTGTGTTCTTCTCAGTCCCCCACTTCTCCTCATCTCCCCTTCTCCTCACTCTTACTCTCCCCCTCCTCCTTGTGTTCTTCTTACCCCCCGTTTTTCAAACCCCCTTCTTCTTCTTACTCCCCCTCCTCCACCTTCTGTTACTCCCCCCTCCTTCACTTACTCCCTCCCTTCACTTACTCCCCCCATCTTCACTTACTCCCCCCT